CTTCCCGTCCTGCAGAAGCAGTCGCAGGGTGAGCTGCATGTCCAGAGCAGAGGCTGGTGCCGGAGCCAGACCGCCTGCCCCGCGACCCACCGTGTGACCTTGGGCACGTCAGGAAACCCCGTCTGTCAGCACCCACCCCGTTCGGGTACTGGAGGGACTAGGACATAATAAGAATAGCTTTTATTAATTTGAGTAAGAACTGATGCTTTGAACATATGCAGTCGACGTGCAAAAGTGGAAATTCTCCAGTTTCAGGGAGGTGGGATCCCCAGGCGCCAGCCCCCAGGGAGAGCAGTAACTCAGTTACAGGGAGGTGATATCTCCAGGCGTCCGGCCCAGGAGCAGTGCAACATTCCAAGGTAAAGATAATAAAACTGTCTACTAGGCCCTGTTTGATCTGAGACTTCCCCAGATACATTTATCTTTGGACAAAACGTTAACGGCTAACTTCTGCTTCTTGTAATCTGCTTATTCAAGGATGTAGTTGGAGGCTTTCTAAGCTGCCTCCTCTGGAAGCTCGGGGCTGATCTCCTCTAGCCCTGCGTGGTAGAGAGTCAGTCGCCGGCCGGCTAATAAAGGCTCATAATTCATCTCAATTGGCTCCGTGGGTCTCAGAATCGTTCGTGCCACAACAGACGACCCCCCCGCAAAAAAAACCTGATGAAATCACAGAATGCCAGAGCTCAAAGGGGCCTTAGCTGTTGTCAACTACGCAACGTGCTCATCTCAGATATGTAAGTGACATGCCAAGGTGACCCAGGTGAAGGCAGGGACGGGCCTAAGACACAGGTCTCCTGACTCCCAAGTCAACACCGTTCCTCCGGCGTGTACTCAGCACTTCTGAGGCGTGTGCCGGGGGTCAGAGCAGGGACGGTCTGGACGCCACCGTCCGTGGGGGGCAGACTGGACAGGTACGAGACAGGAACCCCTGGCACCCTGGTCAAAGGGCGGAGGCCTTGTCAAGAGGCTGGGCGGAGGCCCTCCCAGGCGAGCGACATTGAGCTGAAGACCAAGGGCGGGGTGATTGAAGGGAGGAGACGGCGAGGAGAAGCTGTCTGGGCAGAGGATGCCCCTGTGCAAGCATGGAAGTCTGAGGGACCCCATGCAGCCTCACAGTCTCCGTCACACTCGCGAGACACGCAGGCTCGGGTCCAGCAGTTACCGCTGTGCGGGCTGTTTTGACGTCTGAGCAGAGTTTACTGAACTAGACCGCGGGCTCCCTAAGCTCCCTGACCATTCAAGAGCCGTCAGGTTTGCCCGCAGGCACTGGGATTGAGCATGTCCTGGGAGGGGGCGGCCACACACCAGCCGAACCCTCCCTGGGAAGCCTTGGGGGCTGGGCTGACCCACAGCCCCTCCTGCTGGAGGCCTCACCAGGTTCAGGGCAGGGGGAGGGTGAGGTGGGGCGCCCGGGCGAGGCAGGGCGGGGCGCCCGCTCACACACCTTCTGCATCCACCGTCTCTTTCATGACGATCTCCACGCGCTCCACGTGGTGCCGGTTCCAGAGGCCATCCAGGGCCTTGCGGTTCTGGTCTCGGAAAGGCAGGATCTGAGCCACGGCCTGGCGGGGAGGAGACGGGCGGTTCTGCGGGCTCTCCTCAGGCCCTCAGGCCTCACGGGGAGTCCCCACTCCCGAGCAGGGCCCCATTCAGAGAGGACGCCCAGACAAGGCACTCCCTGGGGCGTCAAGGCTTCGCAGCCCAGGAAGGACTCAGAGCTTTTAAGGGACCCCATGGGGTTACCAGCTTTTTCTTTTGCCAAGAAGGAAAATATCTAAGCTGATCTATCTTCTATTACCGTCGACTTTTAATAAAAGAAAGATATTACAACACCAAAAATGAAGCAAGAAAAACTTCAAATGGAAAACATTCAATTTTTTCTTTTTTTTTTTTTTTTTCATTTTCCCCATGAACAAGCAAAAACTTCAAATGGAAAACATTCAATTTTTTTTTTTTTTTTCATTTTCCCCATGAACAAGTGAAAACCTCACCAGGACAGGCTCTGGTCTAAGGACCACTCTTGGGGAGCACTGCTCCAAACGGGGGAGAGCGATGGCTCTGACGCAGGTGACTGCGCAGTGACTCCACCTGGACCCTGGGCTCCCAGCCTGGTCAGCACCAGAGAACACAGGTGGCGCTCTCTGCTGGCCCTTCTGGGAAGAGGTGTCCTACAGGGGTCCCGAGTCCGAGTCCAGAGTGAAGTGGCCGGCCAGCAGACTCCTCCGAGGTCAGCCCCCTGCTCTGCCACAGGGCCTGGGTGAGCAGCGCGGACGTAACCTGCGCCCCGGCTCAGTTTTAAGATCTCGTTACCAGCCTCCGGGCTCAAACCAGAACTCGGGAAGACAAAGATGCCGAAGAAAAGGCAGAGGGATGTGGAATGGAGCGGTTCGTTCTGATTCCCACAGCTACCCCAACGGAAGCCGGGTCCAGACCCCAGGGCCTTTGCGGCCACCTCCGGAGGATGCAGGACAAGGCGGAGAGACCCAGGCTGGGAAACGAGGAGGACGGGACACACGGGAGCCCACGCGGCTGGGCAGGTGGGCGAGGGCCACGTGGTCCTGTCGCTATGCCTCGGGGCTCATGCCCCTCCCTCGCGCCTCGTGCCCACCCTCGAAACGGCCACAGGAGCTCGGATTTCATGTGCCCTCAGGCCCGACTCCACAGTGAGCGGTGTGGCCCCGGCCAGGGAGTCTACCCGTCTACCTGCGCCCAGCTCACGCCCATCCTGGCAGGCTCCAAGCTGAAGCTCACCTGCTTGCCCAGGTAATGGTCCACGCGGTACATCTCCTCCTCCTGGAAAAAACTCCCCAGCTCCGTGGCCAGCTGCTGGGCTGAGAGGTGGTCGTGGCCGAAGGGTTTCTCGAGGACGACCCGCAGCCAGGCGCCCGGGCCGGGGCGGCAGCTGCTATTGATGTTGCGGGCGATGTCCGCGTAGGCGAAGGGCGGCACAGAGAAGTAGAAGAGCCGGCCGGCCTCCCGGCGGCCCTCCTGCTGCACCAGCGCCTCGACGCCCTCGCTCAGGGCCACGTAGTCCTCGCTGGTCTTCAGCTGGCGGTACTGGCTCAGCCGCCGGAACTGGTCCTTCAGTTCGGCACAGCGGCTGGGCGCCACGTCCTCGGGGCAGGAGAGGGACTCCAGGACCTTGGCCATGACCTCTTGGCCCTGCTTGGTGGCCGTCAGAGCGGCCCCGTGGAAGCTGAAACTGTGGCCCTGCCCCGCCTCATCCAGGTACAGCTGGAACAGGCCTTGCCATAAGTATTTTCTGGCCAGGTCCCCAGTTGCTCCCAGCAGGATTACGGAGACATGGCCCTGGAGCTTCTGGGCCTGCAGGCAGCCCAGAAGGGCCACACACGTTGCCACGGCGAGCATCTTCCAGAAGCCCGGGTGTCTGGGGTGCCTGGGAAAGACAGACAAGGAACAAGGAAGGATCAGACACGGCTCAGGTGGCTGTGATACTTCTAGGCTATCAAACACTTCCTGCCTGGCAAAGAAACAACCACACTGTTTCTCAGGAAGACGTGACAGTCCCACAGCTCCCCCCCGCCGCCCCTCCTTGGCAGCTTGCTTCTGTGCCAAGAAGCTGGGGGGTGGGGGCGGGGCGGGGGAGCAGGGAGCCTGCTTTGCAAACAAGGACTATGCCCGGCGAGGCGGTAGTCCACTTGCAAGAGGTGGCCCATTTTGCTGCAGGAGCGCGGGAAGGTGGCACAAGCCACGAGGGAGGCCCACAGGGCTTGCCATGGGGTTGGAGCTGTCCGCTGTACAGCCCAGGCCAGTGTCACGCCTGAGCACAGGCCGCCTGGGCCATCGGGGCAGCTCAGGAATGGCAGCCGGCCCTTAGATGACGCTGGCCCTGTGAGAAAGCACGATCACCTCCCCTGACGTCTCTCTTTGCTTCTCCCACGTCCGCTGGGCCCCAAGCACAAAGTGACAGCTCGCCATTGCTATAGCACAGTGATTAAAAACACAGACTCTGGCACCGACTGACCGAGTTCGAATCCCAGCTCAGCCCCGTAGCTTGGACAATTATAACACCCCTCTGTACCTCGGTTTCCTCATCTGAAATGGGGGTAATGGTGCTACCTACGGCACAGGGCCATTATAAGGATAAGATGAGTTGATATTTATAATGTGCTTTGGACAGTGCCTACCACCTACTAAACACTACATAAGTGGCAGCTATCATAACAGGCTGTTAATCAGAGCCGTGAACAATGAACTTGGTAGATGTCTTGGTAGACGTGTTAGCTCTCACCGAAGGTGGACCAGAACCCTGAAGAGAACGCGTGGAGGGGGTACTCGTACAGTCGCCCTACTGCAGACAGAACAGCTGAGGCTCAGGGAGGTGAAGGTCCCAGGGGGAGAAACTGGGGGTGCCGGGCAGGCACCAGGCTCCCTGGCTCCTGAGCTGACCACATAGCCCTTGCGTGCTGCGGCCTCCCCAAGGTGGGCCCAACATCTTGGCTGGTTTTCAGCCTGATCTGAAGCAGCTGACGTGTCTAAAAGGCGAGAGGCTTCGGACCTGCACAAACGCACCAGCGGATTGGCTTTCTCTGGCCTTCTGTTCTGACCGAGGTTGTAAAGCTTTATGTGCTTGATTCTTACTCCTCAGCTCTCCCCAGTTCTCCAATTTCCCAGCAAGGCCAGTGCTTGGGGGAGAGGCGGAGGAAGTGAGGACAGGAACCTTGGCCGGCAATGTGGCTCTGAGAAAGAAACGGGGGAATGGGGCCCAGCCTGGGGCAGCAATGAAGACGGAGCTGAGATCACTGAGCAGCACCTGTTATGTGGCAGCTAAAGGATTAACAAAACCCTCAACAATGCGGCTATAATCTGGTTCCACAGACAGAACTGAGGTTTAAAGAAACAGCGGGGACTTACAAAGGCCCCGCAGACCTGGCCGGCTGACATTCCCACGGCCCTGCGTCATCCCCCATACAGAGGGGCCAGATCTGCCTCCTGGCTCTGGCATCAGGCCCTGTCCGTCCTTCACATTTCCCTTTGCCTTGTCCTCCCCTCTCTCGAGATCCACCCCGAGGTGGCACCAGTTAGTAGCCAAACCCAGAAGAGGACCCGACAGCGGCGTTTGCACCAGGACCTACGGGACACCGGACATTACCCTTATGGAGCCTTAACTGGAACCGAGGGGCCCCGTGGGTGGCCCCTCAGCCTTTCTCTCCCACGTGTCCTTCATGTACACTCCTCGGTGACCGCACGCCCATCCTACTTTCTCCTCCCGCTTTCCAGTTCTTGTCCCTGGCCCTTCAAGCGTTTCTTTCTCAACCGCCTGGGTCTGGAGGGAAGGAAAAGCTGCAAGGTCAGTGCAGGCAGCGGCAGTTAGAAATCTGAAGCCCAGAGAGCAGCCTGGGTGGGGGGAGGAGGCGCCAGCTGGCACGCGGCGGAGCAGAGATCCTGGTCGGGTTGTCCAGCTCGGGCTCCAGGCGCCTGGTACGAGGAGAGGCGCTCCGGGAGCTCGGAGTGCCCGGATGGGCAGGTGAGAAAGCCCCGGGGGCCACCCCACCCCGGAGGACTGCAGAAAGCTGTGACGCACGCCCGCCCGGCTGCCTGGCCCGAACCAACCCCCCAGCCCTCCGTTTAATCCTGTTCTGACTCAGAGGCCCGGCTGCAGGCTCCCCGGACCAGCCCTGTTCCCAGTCCCCGGTCAGCCTCCCTTATCTCTTGCTTGTGTCCCCAGCACGCCTTTCAACAAGCACAGATCAGAGAGATCAGTTATTGCGACACGGTTGCTTGCTCTGTAGTTCCTGATCCGGTATGTGTGTGTGTTACTAGCATATTTTTAATCTTAACGATGTTTCTCAAACTTTAATGTGCATCTGAATCTCCCGAAGAGCTTTTAAAAGCACAGATTCCGATGCAGAAAATCCGGGGAGGGGCCCGAGGTGCTGACAGCTGAGGTGCTGACTCCGGAACGCTGAGGACTAAGGCTAGAGCTGCGGCTCTCATCGGAGGGGGCGTCAGAATCAAAACACATACACCTGCCTCCTGCTCCCTTCGCCAAGGCCGTGAACTCTCCGTTCTGCAGGTCCAAATGTGGGAATTTCGAAACAGCCTGGAATGGTTTAGATTTGCTCATCCCCCTGCCCAAACTACCGAGAGCCTGCCGCTCACCACGGGGTCTGCGTGTGCAGATTTACACGCGCTGTCTCCGTCTTTCCTCAAAACCGTCTCCTGAAGGAGGGTCTGTGATGGTGCCCACTTTACGGATGAGAAAGCTGCAGGCGAGGCCAAGTGTCGAGTCACAAAACCTGAGCCTCGGTCACTGTGCAAACGGAATGTGGCATCTGGGTCAGAGGACCTGGGCTCAAGGCCACCTCCTAGCTGTATGACCTAATTGAGTCACCCAGTCCGTTTTGCGTCCACTTTTCCTCATCTGAAAACCGGGAAACCAGATGGCTCCCCCACACCCCTGCGGTGGAAGCCTCTCTCGTGCTGCGAGGCTCTGCTTCTGAATGCTTCTCTGAAGCATTTCCTCCCGCCTCCTTGCCTGCTCTGAGAGGAATGGGCTGCAGAATAAATCTTCTAAAATTACAGACCGAAGGTTAGCCAAAAAGCGTGGACGTGGCCTTCTAGCCGCTGGTCCTGCTACGACTTCCTTCTATTTTTAATTAATTAATTAATTAATAAGAAAACCCTTAGCGACAAGTTCGCGAAGCTCTGGGACAAGACGAGCTGTCCTAGATTGTGAACTGGAATACGTGGTGATTCTTCTCCAGGCCCGGCCGCTGAACAACCACGTAACCTTGAACAAGCCACTTAGCCTTAGTTTCCTCATCTGTGAAATGAAGAGACTGAGCTAAAGGATCAATATCATACTTTACTGCCCCTAAGTCCTGTGCTGTCCAAGGACAGGAGATGCTCATCTATTATCAGAGAGCTGCCTGCCATCTTTCTGGAAGGGCAGTTAAGTGCTTAGAGCTTTACGGCAATGCAGCAAGGCCGGGAAATCCAGGACTAAAATTGGAAGCAATGAGCTGAGAACTGAGTGTCATTTAGAGGTTAGGCTATAGCTCAAGTGCGTGGAGGATGCGATTTCATTTAACAATTATTATACAAGACACTTGCCAAAAACATACTACACGATGAAGTGTGGTGCCACAGGGCATCCTCTAGGGAGGTGTGACAGACGTCCTTCGGACAGGCTCATCACAGCATCGGGACTGATGGGCGCATGTCCCTGGTCCAGGCACCCTTCACTGCCCCCAACTCCAGACAGAGGGGTTCCTACGAGGCATCCTGGGGGACTCACCTTTTAAAGTACAGCTCTGCTAACATCCCCAAAGCTGTGAACACTGGCCAGCCAGAGGGTCTGGATCACAATTGGGGTTCCAGTCTTTGTTTCTGCCCAAGGACTAGAGGCAGCTATGAGGGCACTCACGCAGCCGTGCCTGCCCCCGACCGGCACGGACCCAGCTTGGCTGGCGCTCGGCGGCAGGGCGGTTTCTGGTAAACCCCAGGAGGAAGCAGCTCTGAGCCTCTGTTCCCAGCAGCCCCGGGGCAGGAGAGCGGCCGGAGGTAAAGGTCAGTGGCAGCGGCTGCCCTGCTCCCTTTCTCAACGTGACACCTTGGATTCCGACCTTCTGTCAGGCAGGAAGGAGGGAGGTGTTCTTCAAATCACAGCCCCTGAGTCTGGAATTTTTAAAAGAACGTGTAGGAATGAAATGAGCGTTCAAACTAAAGATCACGTTCAGCTCAAGTCCAAGGGGACGTGCCGGTCTCGTCTAGAATCGCTGACTCAAGTGTTTTTCCTGTACTCTTCCCTTCACGTTGGAGCCCATCCGGGCCACACACACCTGTGCAGTGCAAGACAAACCCTCATCAATGACCTGCCATCTGCCTTCCCTCTGCTCAGGACTAGACTGGGGACAAAAGCAGCAAGATCGGCTCTGGGTCCCATTTTCCTCCACAATCCCAGAGAATCCTTATTCCCTTCACCTCTTTAGGTACCGATCTTGGGTCCCAATGAGCCCAATGGTGTCCTGGAGCCACCTCGTACCTTGCACACCAGATTCAATTGCTAATTTTTCAAGAATTTTTCAAGCCGGTCATTAAACACAACCATTAATAACTGAATTATACAAATTTATAACCAAACAAATTATATAAAAACCCAAGGTAATAAATACTCAACACTCATGACGTCCTAGTTATTTTACGACATTTTACTAGTATCTATGCTCTTGACATTATTGACATCTATTGTGTCTATAAGGCGAAGATATTCTGTAACGGCGTGTTTGAAACTGGCCAGCACTGGAGTATTTACCCAGCGAATGCTACAGACCAGGCTCCCCCAGCCCCACATCCCCAGCTGAGTCAGTTGTTAAATATTTCCCAGCACACAACCGCCTTCAGGCCAAGTCTATATTTCCAGTAAGAACTTAA